TTGGGCCGTTTTTTTTTTTTTTTTTTTTTTGTCTCAGTGTGCCTGTTATGTTGTAAGGGGTGGAGCCTTAGGTATTCACCAGAGCAGGGCAACCACATGCTTCATTGTGATGCTGTTTGTGGAGGAGGGGTCCAAGAGGGAACTAAGCTGGTTGCTCTGCTCTGCCAGTTTTCAGTCACTTCCTCATCTTCCCACAAGCAAATTGGGCCCTTCTAGTGCTGATTCCTAGGTGGGTGGGTTTGTTTACGTTCTAGGACCCTGTGGGTCTCTCCTGTGAACTCTGCGGTGAGGCTGGGAGTTTCTCCTGCTGCCACAACCCCCACAGGTGTTTCGGTCAGAGGTTTGAGGCTTTATTTCCCTGCACTGGAGCTCCAGGTTCTGTGGTCTGTCTCACTCCCCAGTTGTTCCTCCCGGTTTATCTGCACATGAATATGGGACCAGCCGGTCCACCAGTGCTGCCTCACTGGTCCACCAGCCACTGCCTTATCGTGAGTCCTCTCTGCCCAGCTGCCTGTCTCCACCCCTCCTACCGGTCTGGATGAATGTTTCTTCTTTAACTCCTTGGTTGTTGGACTTCCATACAGTTCAATTTTCTGTCAGTTCTGGTTGTTTTTTGTTTTTAAATTTGTTGTTGTACTTCTTACGGTTGTGTGAGGTGGCACAGTCTACCTATACCTCCATCTTGGTTGGAAGTCTCTCTTTTTTTTTTTTTTGAGAGTGAGAGAGAAACATCACATGCAACCCCACCAGGAATCAAATGCACAAACTTTTTGTGTAAAGGATGATGCTCCAACCAACTGAGCCTCCTTGCCATGACACAAATGTTTTTAAATATGCAGGGCCTAGAACTTAAGATAATTTCAGTTGAACTCAGAAGTAAAGCTTAAGTGGGTTAACAAGGCTGGAAGGGGAATGAAGGACATTGACCACCCCTTCTTCCCCATCTCCACCCCTGCTTCTGCATGAAGACTCGGATAAAATGCCTCCACAGGGGGCATAAAGCCCCCTCCCTCAGCTCAGTGTCAAGGCACAAGGTCGGTCCAGGTTGGGCACCTTTGGGTACCACCAAGGTTAGCAGCTCTGGTCTTAGTAAAGAATCTCTTCCAACATCTCCAAGTCCCTCTGGCTATTTCTAACTTGCTGTGGCAATACTTCTTTTCATAATCAACTCTGCAGTCTCTGTTCATTGTAGGAGGTTATTTTCAGTCCAGTTGATAGCATATTTGCAAAATATTATGCACACAGTGGCCTGTGCCTCTGCTATCTACTTACCTCCCTTTGAATTTCCTTTCCTCTTCTGGCACAGTGCTTTGGATGCCTTTGCAGCATTCCAGCTCTTTTGCTACGTAAAGCTAGAGTCTAAGCTTGTCTATGGCAAGGGCCAAGTACACCATTAACATAGTAACACCTCACTTTCGTAGAGAGCGTTTATCGTCCCATTCCAATTTGTTAGCTTCTCCTCACACTCTTCCATGCCACTGTCTCTGCAGTAGCAATTGTGAGGGGTGGATACCCAGGGACACTTCTGGCCTGGCCAAGGTGAAAGCGGGGACGTAGTCATCTACAAACACTTTTCCCACTATTCTCTCGTTTCAGTCTTTTAAGGCCAGAGGTCGCAGAGCACAGCCCAAGCTTAACCCGTTCCAAACAGATGAGACCCCTTGCTGTTTTTTGAAGCCTGCCAGCTGAGCGTTCCACAACTTCCCCCAAGGCCTCCGCAGCATTGAATGGCTCTCGCTCATCAGGAAACGAAGGCTTCCTCTCCCTACCCCTCCCTTTTTAACTCTTAATTCCATGTTCTAATTCTACGATTACATCTTAAACTTCTGATAAGTAATCCCTTGTTTAACTTCAACAGGGGAAACCTATACCTGGAAACAAAAGGAGAACTATTTTCATGAAAATAAGTAGCGGAATGAAGTATTGCCATGAACACCCCCCTTTGCTTGCCACTTGCTGAAGCAGGTTGATCAGGGCATGTTGTGGGGGGTGGGGAGGCAAGTGGTGAAGACCCCGAGTCTGGGTGGATCCCTGCAGCAATCCTTCAGTAGGGCCTTTTACATTTCCATTCTCTACTTTAAATAATAAGGCGATGTCACTGATCTCAGCAGGGAAACCTGTTAGGAGTGTGAGGGTGAGGACCCTTTTCAGCGGCAGTGCCTACAGACACACGCGCACCAGTGAGAGAGAGTGATGGCTGGCTGCTGTGGCCAGACCTGAGAGTCACTGTGAGGTGGCTAAGGAAATCCCTGGCTCGTCTGGCCTCCTCGGGGACGGGCGTGGGCCAGAATTGCTGGCAAATGAGTCTTCCTGCCCTAGGCAAGCCCATCCACTAGGCAAGGCAAGGACAACTGATTGGGACAAAAGCCTTACCTGTAAAGGAGGTTGCTCACTCTCGCTTATAAATATCTTTCATAATAAAAGCGTCATTAGATTACAGAGTCATGAATTGACACATTGTGCCTGGCTGCTGCATTAGAAATGCATTTCATCCTTTGGTAGTTGTGGCTGTCCACAGGGTGTGGAGTCATGACCAACTGTCTGGAATTACTAATTTATGCTTATTCTCTGCTGCAAAAACGGCTGTCTTGGGCCAACTCTCGTGACACAGGTGACTGCCCACCAGCAATGGGCTACCCACTTTAGTCCTCATTCCACTTACCCTGCCTCAGCAGCCTCATTTATTCTTTCTATCTCAACTGTTAGCCACCGGTATTTCCAGGATTGTAAGATGCACCATCAGGTTAATAATATCCAGGGGTGGGAAGGGGAGGGAGAATAGCTCTCCTATTACATATACGACATCTATTGTCAGCTCACAGTTACGCCTCACAGCCAAAGACCTCCCGATCCTCTGAGATTCAGCTTACAGTCCTTCCCTAGTCACATTCTTTCCCGGCACTGGCCACTCCCTTGTGTCACAACTTGCACATGCTGTCACACCTAGTACAGTCATGATGTCCAGGCTGTAAGCACCTCAAGGGCAGAAACTGTCGTATTTGTCTCTTTATTCCCAGGGTCTAGCCCAGTGTCTGCCATTAATTCACTCTGTAAATGTTGACGGAAGACCTACCGTGTGCCAGGCACATTCCCAGACTCGCGCTTGTTCGTTAAGCAGAAGAGTTTTTAGCAAACACCAGCTCCGCAGTGACAGGGGAGACAGCACTGGAGAGGACCACGGTGTGCGTGCTGTGCCGCCTTGGTCGGTTCAGGCTGCCCTAACGAACATGGGAGACTGAGTGGCTCGGGCAACGGACGTTTAGTCCTCACGGTTCTGGAGGCTGGGAAGCCCAAAATCAAGGTGCCAGCAGACCCTGTTCCTGGTGAGAGCCCTCTGCCCTTCTGTGTCCTTACGTGGCAGAGGAGAGACCATCTCCCTCTGTCTCTCTTCTTAATGGCACTAATCCCATTCCTGGGGGCTCCATCCTCAGGACCGAATCACCACCTACCCATCCCCCCCATGCTAAGGTCCCATTTCCAAACACCACTGGGCACCCGGGCTTCAGTATACGAATTTGGGGAGGGACACAAACATTCACTGCACAGCATGTCCTGAGAAAAATGTGATTAAGTGCTGAAGCGTGTGGCTCAGACATTCAGTGCTGGGGGTAGTTTAGAAAAGGTCTGAGGGGCCTGGCCTTACTCTTCTTGGCAGCTCCAGCACCTCCTCAGGACCGACAGGAGGCACACATTTAAGGTCGATGGAATTAAACTTCCCGAAGAGATTCCAGAGGGTTCTGTGGGGTGGGAAGGGGAAAACAACGGCAGGGTGCGTGCACAGCACGGAGGAAGGCTTGGTGTCAGAGACGAATTAAAAATGCTTATTATGCTACAATACAGATAACACAGAATTTACCGTTTTGACCACTCTAAGTGTCCAGCCCAGTGGCACGAAGTCCTGTCCCATTGTTGTGCCGCCAGCTCTGACTTCCTGAGGACCTCTCTCATCCAGGCATCGTAATAAACACCCGGCTGACCAGGCGTCTGTGGGCGGAAGCAACGATGCGCCCCCAGTACAAGCAGTGCTTCCCTCCCCACGTGGGCGGGTCCCCCACTGGCATCTGTGACCTGCTTTGCGTGTAGTAACCAGGGTACCAGGGCTGCTCCCTGTGTCTTTGAATCACCCTGGTGAAGTTTTAAACAATGGGCCCTAATTTCCCCCCAATACCGAGCCTTTTGTATTCAAATCAACAGCACAAAGCCCTATTGTGGGGGGAAAAAAGACTCAACTGGCAACCAGTCATGTCTTCTTAAAGCACCAAATGTGAAGTCTCAGGAGAGCTTTCCTTATGAAGTACCGCAGCGATGGATACACTTGGGTGTTGCCTTTCTTTGTTCTTGCTTTTTGATGAGTGTGTTGGTGGCCAGCGTTCTAATCAGTGCCCAGGCACCCGGGAGAGGGGAGAGGGTGGGCCAGGGAAGGCGAGGCCCACCCAGAGGCAGGGCAGTCAGCACGACCTGTGATACCTGGGGCCTGGCCCTGTCACTTCGCTGGGAATCCTGGGGTCACCTGAACGTGTAAGGCCTCGGAACCCTGCAGAGGGTGGAATCGACGGCTTTTTAAAGTCCTTCCACCTCCGTCCTATCTGAATACTTTTTAACAAGGGCCTATCTGCTAATCGGTGGGGAGCTCACCTTGGGACCAGCGGGTGAGTGTGCGGGCAGTTTGTGGAAGGAACGGTGGGCGAGCGTGGGGCCTCCACAGTGGAGGAACGCAGGGTGTCCCGGAAAGGAGCTGAAGTGATGGGATTTCCAGACAAGCCTTCCCATGGCCAACTTTTAAAGGTCGGAGGAGAGTTTGTCGTGGGGCGGGGGGCCGGAGAGGAGCGCGGGGTGGGCTCCGCCGCCTCCTCCCCTTTAAGCGGGCGGCCCCGGGCTCCCTCCGTTACCTGGAGCGGGGAGGGGCTTGGGAAAGTTTGTGTTTGTTGCTGGCAAAGCGCCCGATGGGAGGCGCGGGCGGGCGGGCAGGCGCTGCGGTTCTTCCCTTTTGCTTTCGGGAAGCGGCTGGGGCTGCACGCTCAGCGCGGCGGGCGGCTCTGGCGCCCGGCTCCCGGTGCCCGGAGGGCCTGAGGAGGGCGGGAAGGAGGTAGGCGGGGGGCGGGAGCGAGGGGCGCACGTCCGCCCGGCGCTGGGATTGCGCGGCTGGCGGGGAGAGCGGAGCAGGCGCGAGGCCCAGGCGGAGGAGCGCTGACTCTGGAGCAGCCGGAGGTGGAGGAGGAGGAGGAGGAGAGGCGGCGGGGAAGGAGGAGGAGGCGGAGAGTCGCTCCCGCCCAGCGAGCGGCGAGCATGGGACGCCTGGCGCCCAGGCCGCTGCTGCTGGCGCTGCTGTCGCTGGGTGAGTGCGCACGGGGCTTGGCGGGGCGCGTGGGACCGGCGGGGCCCGGGGGCGCTCGGCGGGGCGCGGCTGTGGCGCGCGGCCTGGGGTTCCGTGGGGGCCGGGGCCGTTCCCGGGAGATCCCGCCGGGGTACATGGGCAGCGCACCCCGGCGGAGAGCGGCCGCGGGGGGGCCCCCCCTTGGAGCCAGGCTCGAACCCGGCCCAGCCACACGCGGGGCTTCGATCCCCGCTCCGCTAGGCCGAGCCTCGCCCCCCACACGTGCGAGGGGAGTGGCCCGTGACTGGTTGACCCCAGCACTCCCTACCTGTTGGCCGCTGGGAGCTCGGCTCACCTTGAACTCCCTGCTCAGAAGGTGCCAGCGGTCCCTGGCCGGTGTCCTCAGCGTGGCGGCGGTAACAGGCGCCTTTGATCTGCCCCACCGTGGCCGAGACCGGCTGACTCGCTCCCCACACACAACCCGGGCTGAGGCGCCTTTCTAGGGAAGCGGGAGAAGCACCAACTTCCTTCTACGAAGGTCTCGGTGGCCCGGAGCGCTGCGGTGCCAGTCGGTGTGCAAGCCCTCTGCCCTGTTCGCTGAGGCTGGAGCCTGTGCCTCCGGCTTTTGCTTTATTTCTTCTCGAAGGTGCCTCCCTCCATATTTACACACAAAGACCTGGGAGCCTTGGCTTCTCCAACTTTTCCTACCTGTTACTTTTCCCTCCTTCACTGTGTCCCCTGCCTTCCACCCTCCCCAGGCCTGGGCGCCTCGGGATAACTTGACCCAGCACCCTCCCCCAACCGAAGGAATTTTGGGTGCGTTTTTTTCTTCTCCGTGTTCCTTTTATTCCATACACACAGACACCATCTTCACATATACATATGGTTATCTTAAATGGTGATATAACCACAGAAATACATCTGTTTTTAAGTGCCTACCACCGTACCCAGGGCCGACCTTTAAACGCTGTGATATTCTTGGATCCTTTCGGTCCCTGTCAACCAGAACAGAATGAATCCTCGGACCCCACCATGGGTTTTTCTTCCAAGCCCCTTGAGAAGGTGCATCAGAGTCTTCTGTGGAGCGCGTGGTGTGTGGTGTCTGTCCCAGCCAGGCCCCAGCTGCGCTCGGGGTAAATGACTGCTCTGCACTTACGGTCAGGGGGTCCCAGCGGAGGCCTTCAACAGCCGCTCCCGCCCTGCTGGCACCCGGGCTCCCTCAGCCCCGCCCCCATGACTCCTGCTGCCGGGCCAGCCTTTCTAGCTGCTACTGTGTTTTCTTCCTTCACCCCCGAGGGTTTTTTTTTGGAACTCACTCCCCGGGAGAGCTTATCCATTGCTTTAGCTGCAACCACGTGCAGGAAGCTTCCAGATCTTTCATTTAGTTCTGCAGCATTTCTTCTGTGGCCTGGGATCTTAGTGCCTTTATTCTTTGCCTTTCCTCTGGCACCCGTGTAAGATCTATGTGGGTTCCCAACTGCTGGCAGCCAGTGTTTGCACAGATCGTGCACCGCGCAACTCCAGAGTGGCTATTCACTTTACAGTCCGTGTGAGAATGACGCCCCCTAGAGTTGTGCAGGTGGCAACCTGCGTACCAGTTCAGGTGTTGGGGGCAGGTGCAAGTCTGAAAAACGAATGTCCTTGAGCAATTCTGACAAGGGAGGAAAAGGGAGAGGAGAGGGGCCGAAGAGAGGCTGGCAAAAGCCAGAACAAAAGTGGGGAAGGGAGGGAGAGTCTCGCTTGTGTGGCAGTGAATCCTGGCGGCCCGGACTGGGCATCTCACCTTAACTACACACAGGGAATGTCTGTGGTGTCACCAGCCAGTGCCTCTCCTCCTAATGGTTTCTTGAACTTGAACACGGATAATTCTGCCCCTCACTCAGTGTGGCTTTAATCTGACCTCTGGGATGCCCTCCCTGTTACACTCTAGCACTGTTTTGATTCCGGAAACTTAATATGTTGCTAGGCAAGATCATCTTTCCTCTTGTATTGCAACTTGGACATAATCTTGCTGTCACTTTCGTTGACCTCCATGTTCACACTGCCCCTCAATTCCGTGGCTTTTTCTACAGTGCAGACTCCAGCTTCTTGCTGTTCTTCTGTTTCGTATAGCTAGCTAGTCCTCTGGCCCAGGTTCTGACACTTCTTTATACGGTTAGCTTGGTCTACCTTTTCCTTCAGCTCCCGTTCTGAGTTTATTATTTTCCTAATGGGTGCGTTTTGGGGAGGGGCATTCTTTGCATGTTGGTTCTTTATGATTTTCTTACGAGGACAGGCTCCCCCTGTGTTCTCTCCCCTCTAGTCTTCCCTTGGATTTATTTAGATACTTCAATCTAAATAACCTGTTTGCTATCCTTTACTTAGAATATTTGTGAACTTTCTGGTGTTTTTATTTCGCTCGGCCTTGGAGTGCCCCTCCTGCTCCTCCGCTCTTGCCCATGTTTTTCCTTTTCCTCAAAACTCACTTCCTCCATGAAGCTCCCCTGAGTCTAACTATCACCATCACATCCGATCCACTCAGCCGCACGGAGCACGTGTGTGCTTCTAGGGCCTCAGTCTGACTTGTTTATCCATTCGATACAGCAGTTCTCGAGTGTCCGTCAGACTCCGTGAAAGCATCCAGACAAATGCCTCCCTGAGTGGTTGGTGGAGGTGGGTGGACGGGGAATAAGATGGCTAACGACAGGACAGGATGAAATACCTACATAGAAACTGAGTGCTGGCAGGAAGCAAGGAAGAGCATGGTTCATTGTGACTGGGGATGGGGATGGGATGGGGCTGGACTTTGCTACAGAGGTAGAATTTGGGCTGAGCCTTGAGCACTAAGAATTTTGAAAGAAGGGCTGGGAGAGCATTCCAGGCTCTGGGGAAAGTGTGGATGAGTGAAGGTACATGGCTCCTTCAGAAGTGGCATGAAAGGCCCACGTAATGGGAGGTAGGAGGGGGGTGTAATGGGAGAGCGAGCTGGGAAGGAGGGCTCGGGTGGATCCTGAAGGCTTTAGGTGCTGTGTTGAGGAGTCTGGACCACGGAGGGTGGGTTTGTTGGCCTTGTGGGCGCTGCCAGGCAGCCTGTGCCCTTCCCATCATCACGCTTCCTTAGGTCACTGTGTGTAATTGTCTGTTCCTGGCTGAAGTCCCCACTCCGATTATAGCACCCAAGTCGGGAACCATGCTCATCTGGTTCACTGAAGGATCCCTGTTACTGATAGGGTGCCCGGCATATAGTCGGCGTGCAGTGAATGTGGCTCTGAACACATGTATACATCCCTTTGTCTGTGGGTAATGGGCAGCCGTTGAAAGTTAGCACAGTGAGGTGATCTGTTTGAGAAGGCAAGTCCTCGCTAGGATGAAGCATGAATTGGAGAATGGAAGGTATGGAGATTGTGGAGAGGGATTAAGATATTTTTCATTTGCCCTGCCTGGTGTGGGTCAGTGGATTGAGCGCTGGCCTGTGAACTGAAAGGTTGCCGGTTCAACTCCCAGTCAGTGTACATGGGGGGGTTGTTGGCCAGGTCCCCAGTAGGGGGTGTGTGGGAGGCAATGGATTGACGTTTTCTCTCACACATTGATGTTTCTCTCCCTCTTTTCCCCCGTCCCTTTCCCTCTCTAAGAGTAAATAAATAAAAATCTTTAAAAAAAGATATTTTTAATATGTCTTTTAAAAAGTTTTTGCAAATCCATTGAAGTCGTTTTTTTATTTTTAATCCTCACCGGAGGACATGCTAGTTGATTTTAGAGACAGGGGAAGGAAGGGAGAGAGAGAAAGAAACATCTGTCGTTGTCTCTCATATGTGCCCTGACCAGGAATTGAACCCGTGACCTTTTGGTTTATGAGACACTTCTCCAATGGACTGAACCGTACCAGCCAGGGCTGAAGTAGTTTTCGAATGACAAAAGCATTCCATCTGTATTTTAAAATTCCTGTACCACAGAAGACTATTGTGTTAACTAGTCAGGCCTTACTGCTCTAACAAATGGACTGAAAGCACAGAGGTTCCAACAATGGGGTATCCTTCCCAACACGCCCAGGGGATGTTTCAGATGAAGAGTGTGGGTGGGACCCCCTACTTCCCACAGCTGTTCTGACTCCCAGGCCAGTGGCAGTTCCATTGTCTGCAGCCTGTGGTGTTTCTAAGGTCACTTTGATTGTCACTGTCACCTTTCCGGCCCCATAAAGGGTGAAAGAGCGTGGAGGAACTCGTACGGAGGCTTCGTGGCCAAGCCTGGAAGTGGCACACATCATTTCTGCACACTTTCCATCCCACAGAATTTGGTCCATGCTACACTAGCTGCAAGGGAAGCTGGGAAATGCAGAGAAACCGGGCAGCTGAATGCCAGCTGCCATGGAGGATGAGACTAGCAGGTCTGGAGGACAGCTAGCAGTCTCTGAGTCAGTTATAAAGGATATAAGGTGGAAAAAAAGGCGCCTACCTTCCCACTGCCCAAGCGCCCCACTTATGAATAGTGTATGTGTGTCTGTCTACTGGATATTTGGCTTGTTCTTTCTCAGAGCTACACAGGGCTCTGCACCTAAAAGGCACCGAATGAAAGTAGCAGTTATTATACAGGGCATGTGGATCAAACGCCAGGGTTTTGCATGTAATATCTTACTTGAGCCTCACAGTGATGCTTGAAGGAAGGTACCGTTATTTTCTCCCTGTTACAGACGAGGAAACTGATGCCCAGAGCAGTTCAGGAACTCACTCAGTGTCCCCCTAGGACTCCATATGCCTCTGCTGAGAAAAAGCTGGCTTGTGGTCACTGTAACCTGATGTTGTGTATATCTCGAGGTTCGTTTAGTTGAAAAAGCAAAAGTGGTTTGAAAGCAGTAGTGTGGTTGAAAATAAGAGGGTCTGGGGGGAGCGCAGTTCAGGCACGATTCCTGCAGCCTCTTGGCAGGTCACCACACCTTCTCTGAGGACAGGGACCAAAGTGCAGCTTCCTCCAGAGAGCACCGAAGAGGCAGGAAGCCGGGCAGGAGGAACCCCTGTGAATGCACCCAGCCCGGCGGCCTTTAGAGC